AGGTCAATGGATGAATCCTTCTCGCCGGAAAGAGGTGGAAGCCGGTGATTCGTTAAGGAATAGGGAGTTCCCAAGATTCTAGAGACGTAATTTCATCAATAACGGATTGTAAGATTATGGAAGGTCAACTGTGACCCTCCCAGGGCACTAGAATCCGCCAGGCCCTAGAAAGAGTTCATAAGTGACCTGAGTAGGATCAATTTACGACTCGTTCCCGATGAGAAGGGGCGATACACTATTTAAAACTTACTATGAGGGAGCCTGATCCCCATTCGTCGAGACGAGAGTCGGGGTGTGTCCGAATCCGAATCCTTTGGGTCCGAAGAGCTTACTGTAGCATGATCGGCAGTGGATCTCCTTGTCGGGTCCGTCGCAGGCTAGCATGGAATCCAACGGTCGATGGCACTCGGCGCAGTTGAAGCACTTCTTGTGCCACATGGTGCCTTTGGCGAGCTGTTGTTCAGCGGCGAACACCATGCCGCCGCACCGGGGACAACCCTGGCCAGCTGGAGCCTTGATAGAGGTCGTGTCGGGATTGTAAAATGGCCGACTGGCCGAAATTTCTTCTTCCCTGAAAACAAACCGCACGTTAGACCCTTTTTGCGTCAAATGCACGTCGATTTTATTAGAGGTATGTATGATCGGTGTGTATATAATGCTACCGGAATGGTACTTTATTAGGTTGGTACGTATGGTGTTATCAAAATGGCGCCTACAGGGTGGATGCATACAATAGTACCGGAATGGTACTTTATTAGGTTGGTACGTGTGGTGTTATCAAAATGGCGCCTACAGGGTGGATGCATACAATAGTACCGGAATGGTACTTTATTAAGTTGGTACGTGTGGTGTTATCAAAATGGCGCCTACAGGGTGTATGCATACAATAGTACCGGAATGGTACTTTATTAGGTTGGTACGTATGGTGTTATCAAAATGGCGCCTACAGGGTGGATGCATACAATAGTACCAGAATGGTACTTTATTAGGTTGGTACGTGTGGTGTTATCAAAATGGCGCCTACAGGGTGTATGCATACAATAGTACCAGAATGGTACTTTATTAGGTTGGTACGTATGGTGTTATCAAAATGGCGCCTACAGGGTGGATGCGTATAACGGTACAAAAATACTGTCTATTAGGTACAGTTGCACATAATGTTAACGACCAACTTGTAAGAAACTCACGTTAGGCCATCGGTCTGAAGGAATCCTGATCCACAGGCGAATCCGTATCCGTGCGGTCCCCATTTCTTCCCATAGCAAGTTTTGCAATAAACATCTTTGTCGGGTCCGTCGCACGCGATGATGGAGTCCAAGGTTTTGGTGCAGTCGCGACACTTGTAGCACTTCCTGTGCCACTCGCGGCCCTTGGCGAGGACCTGTTCGGCCGCGAAGACAACGCCACCGCAACGGGGGCAACCCTTGCCAGGTGGCGCCTTGATCGCGGCGGTGTCGACCACGGTGGTGCGAGGAGCAGCATCGCTTTAGAAATTAATCCGCCGTTAACCCATCTCGACTTTTCTCCTCGAACAAACAAACCCCTTCGAATCCCGAGTGGCACGAATAAGATAAACGTTTCGATTTCCTTTGACCGATTTTCAAATTTCTCAAATTTTTTATTGCGATGCTTTCTGGTTTGTTCGTGCGACTCGACGTGTCCGAGTATTTGTAAATTCAAAAAGGGGCGAATCCCATGCAAACGAGGAGTCGATCGATACTACTTGGCAGTCACAAGGAGGGTTCTTAATGAAAACGACGAACAATTCATTCCATAACGACCTTGAAGGTTTATAGACGGGGTTGATTATTCCGGACGTGAATGATTCATGAGTTGTTCCTGGTGAATTTTTAAATTACCCGCCAATTGGGAACAGGTGGCGATCAACCATGGGAATAATATACAGGGTGTCCCAAAAATTTTGTAACACTTTGAAAAGGGTGATTCGGGAGGTGATTTGAAACAACTTTTTCCTTAGCGAAAATCTTGTCCGAAGCTTCGTTGAGGAGATATTAACAGAAAACCCCGGACCAATCGGAGCGCGAGTAGGCCGGCGGAGGCGGACGCCTAGCGCGTGGTCTACGCCTACCGCGGGCGCGCCGGCCTACTCGCGCTCCGATTGGTCCGGGGTTTTCTGTTAATATCTCCTCAACGAAGCTTCGGACAAGATTTTCGCTAAGGAAAAAGTTGTTTCAAATCACCTCCCGAACCACCTCTTTCAAGGATTCTAATCTCCACCATTTTTGTGACAATTATCTACAAGTCAATCCCGTCATATTTTCCAAAATTTATTATCGATTAAAAAATACTCCACCTCTGTTGACTCCGGTATAATCAACCTCGTGTAACCAGGGGGTTGGTTTTATCGCACCAGGAGTATAAAGGTGTTATTCACACTATAGCTTGCAAAAATGGCTCCAAGGTAGAAACTGGAGGTGAGTAACACAGCGCGAAGCGTTAAAGCGTCGATTCATGTGTATGTATGTACAATTGTACACGTGTATCCGTACGTGAAGACACATGCACTCGTTCTTTCACTCTCCAGCTAGAATATTAAACGGAGGATCGACGTCCGTCTTGGTCCATCGTGACTTTATTTAGACGTTACATTTTTTTCAATAACAATCCTTTAGGTCGTACGTAATAATTCATTAGGGGAATTAGTCGGATAAACTAGCACATACATACACACACATACACAACACACACACAGAGAGAGAGAGTTGGCGAAACCACAGAGTACTCTTACAGAGACGAAACTCGATTATCGACGGAGATATAAAGAGAATCGTCGGAGAAGATCCGAATATTGGGCTTGGAAAGGGGGTGGGGGGTTCAGAGGGAACCAATGGCGCCACCTACGCGGCGCGGTGTCACTGCACATGCGCAGCGTACACAGTAGCCCGTAAGTCTGCGCGTTCCACGTTCCAAGCTCTGAATTAATAATTAATTCACGAAATTTTTCACGAAGGTAAATTAATACGGTGCCGTCAGGATTTTTCGACAGGATTTTTCATTTTGAGATGAGTTCAGGCCCCCTAAGACCACTCTGTGACAATACTGGAATAACTATGGGTGGGGGTAGGGGGGGTGCGCGTACCCCTCGTCCTCAATATCGCACTGCAGCCCGATCCACATAACCCCAGCGTGGCCAATACCTCGCGGACCGAATTTCTTCGGATAGCAAGCTGTTAAGCAGACAAGCGTATCATATATAGTAAGAGTGTAGTAGCAGAGCCGGGATATCTCTGGTGTGTTCCCGTCTCAGTCCCACCACTGAAAACCCACCCATTGGCGTAGCAGTCGCTTTGTAGGGCGCCACCGCCCTGGCCGTAGCCATAACCCTTCGGTCCGAATCTCTTTCCGTAGCATACTGCAGAGAACACCGGTTAAAGGTATCTGGGCACCATTTTTTACTTTTCGCGGACGTAACGCACGGGAACACGACGTTCGATATTTCTTTCGATTCGTTACGGAAGTCTTGCGAGCCAAGTACAGAATTTTTCTTTCGGAGTTGAGGTTCACTTTTACGAGACCTTGACAACTTTTGAAAATTGCAAATGGCGGCTGAAGGAACTAATTGCGCCACCAGCGCCCCCAGTAGGTTGAAAAG